AAACCTGTAGAGACTAAAGCTTGGATGGACTAATTGCTGTACAGAAAGAAACCTGTAGAGACTAAAGCTTGGATGGACTAACTGCTGTAAAGAAAGAAACCTGTAGAGACTAAAGCTTGGATGGACTAACTGCTGTACAGAAAGAAACCTGTAGAGACTAAAGCTTGGATGGACTAACTGCTGTAAAGAAAGAAACCTGTAGAGACTAAAGCTTGGATGGACTAATTGCTGTACAAAGAAACCTGAAAACCTGTAGAGAGGACTAAAGCTTGGATGGACTAATTGCTGTAAAGAAAGAAACCTGTAGAGACTAAAGCTTGGATGGACTAACTGCTGTAAAGAAAGAAACCTGTAGAGACTAAAGCTTGGATGGACTAACTGCTGTAAAGAAAGAAACCTGTAGAGACTAAAGCTTGGATGGACTAACTGCTGTAAAGAAAGAAACCTGTAGAGACTAAAGCTTGGATGGACTAACTGCTGTAAAGAAAGAAACCTGTAGAGACTAAAGCTTGGATGGACTAACTGCTGTACAGAAAGAAACCTGTAGAGACTAAAGCTTGGATGAAACCTGACTAATTGCTGTACAGAAAGAAACCTGTAGAGACTAAAGCTTGGATGGACTAATTGCTGTAAAGAAAGAAACCTGTAGAGACTAAAGCTTGGATGGACTAACTGCTGTACAGAAAGAAACCTGTAGAGACTAAAGCTTGGATGGACTAACTGCTGTAAAGAAAGAAACCTGTAGAGACTAAAGCTTGGATGGACTAACTGCTGTAAAGAAAGAAACCTGTAGAGACTAAAGCTTGGATGGACTAACTGCTGTACAGAAAGAAACCTGTAGAGACTAAAGCTTGGATGGACTAACTGCTGTACAGAAAGAAACCTGTAGAGACTAAAGCTTGGATGGACTAACTGCTGTAAAGAAAGAAACCTGTAGACTAAAGCTTGGATGGACTAAACTGCTGTACAGAAAGAAACCTGTAGAGACTAAAGCTTGGATGGACTAACTGCTGTACAGAAAGAAACCTGTAGAGACTAAAGCTTGGATGGACTAACTGCTGTAAAGAAAGAAACCTGTAGAGACTAAAGCTTGCTGTGGACTAGACCTGCTGTAAAGAAAAAGAAACCTGTAGAGACTAAAGCTTGGATGGACTAACTGCTGTACAGAAAGAAACCTGTAGAGACTAATGGACTAACTGCTGTACAGAAAGAAACCTGTAGAGACTAAAGCTTGGATGGACTAACTGCTGTAAAGAAAGAAACCTGTAGAGACTAAAGCTTGGACGGACTAACTGCTGTAAAGAAAGAAACCTGTAGAGACTAAAGCTTGGATGGACTAACTGCTGTACAGAAAGAAACCTGTAGAGACTAAAGCTTGGATGGACTAACTGCTGTACAGAAAGAAACCTGTAGAGACTAAAGCTTGGACGGACTAACTGCTGTACAGAAAGAAACCTGTAGAGACTAAAGCTTGGATGGACTAACTGCTGTAAAGAAAGAAACCTGCGAGTTAGGTCAGAAGTACAAGAATACAGAAGTCCTCTTATTGCAGAGTAGAAAATGAATATCAAAGCAAACCACTGCTACAATGTATGAACATAGTACTGACCTACGATGGCAGAGAACTTGTTACAGAAAGACAGAACAGATCAGGTCATTGATAACCAGAACTGAAATCCTCAGAGCTAGCTGCTCTGTCATCACTTGCCGTGGACTCTGCAGAGCTATACAATGAGTTCACATTAATTTGTGAGGTTTTTTGACAAAGGCTGTTTACAATGAGTTCACATTAATTTGTGAGGTTTTTGACAAAGGCTGTTTACAATGAGTTCACATTAATTTGTGAGGTTTTTTGACAAAGGCTGTTTACAATGAGTTCACATTAATTTGTGAGGTTTTTGACAAAGGCTGTTTACAATGAGTTCACATTATTTTTGTGAGGTTTTTTGACAAAGGCTGTATACAATGAGTTCAAATTAATGTCTGAGGTTTTTTGTCAAAGGCTAAAATTCTACCAACTATTTTCACAACTGTACCATAAACAATGAATTTAATTAAATTAGTTATCAAGGCATAAGATAATAAACATTAGCCAAATAATCATTATTTGCTACCCATCCAAATCAGAAGCAGAAGGAATGGATGAGAAAATAATTCTAATAATAACATAAATATCACAAATCTGTAAAAGAAATTAATACATGATATATACAAAATATAGTCAAAATACATACATGTTAAAGGTAAAATTGATTCTACACATACTGAACATAATATTACTCATAGAAAATCTTAAATTACCGCTATTAAAATATTGTAAAGCTATTCTCACACAAATAAGAGATGGTTAATTTACAAACATGTCTTATCAGAGTTTATAAAAAGGCAAACTTAGTTGTAAAAATATATGTGCTGCTCTTATTACCACCCTACTTAGCTACTTTGTCAAACCAAAAATTTATACCCAGATCAATACATTCAGATTTGTTAAAATCTTGCTTTTCTACTGTGATAAACCATAATCCTGCTTGTATTTAAACTATGCATGTCTACACCATCAAACTATAGTTCAGTCTGTTCAAACCCTGCTTGTTTTTCTTGTCAAACCATAATCGTGTTTATTAAAAAACTTCATGTCTACCTTGTCAAACCATAATCGTGTTTATTAAAAAACTGCGTGTCTACCTTGTCAAACCATAATTGTGTTTATAAAAAAAAACTTCATGTCTACCTTGTCAAACCATAATCGTGTTTATTAAAAAACTGCATGTCTACCTTGTCAAACCATAATTGTGTTTATTAAAAAACTGCATGTCTACCTTGTCAAACCATAATTGTGTTTATTAAAAAACTGCATGGCTACCTTGTCAAACCATAATCGTGTTCATTAAAAAACTGCATGTCTACCTTGTCAAACCATAATCGTGTTCATTAAAAAAACTGCATGTCTACCTTGTCAAACCATAATTGTGTTTATTAAAAAACTGCATGTCTACCTTGTCAAACCAGTTACTTCTTCATAAAATACTGCAATGTCAGCTCTTTGTTTAGATAATGTTCATGTTAACTCTATGAATGGATAGTCTTAACTGCAACTTTCTGGGTAGAGTGTTAATATTAAAAAACTGCATGTCTACCTTGTCAAACCATAACCGTGTTTATTAAAAAACTTCATGTCTACCTTGTCAAACCATAATCGTGTTCATTAAAAAACTGCATGTCTACCTTGTCAAACCATAATTGTGTTTATTAAAAAAACGGCATGTCTACCTTGTCAAACCATAATTGTGTTTATTAAAAAAACTTCATGTCTACCTTGTCAAACCATAATTGTGTTTATTAAAAAAAACTTCATGTCTACCTTGTCAAACCATAATTGTGTTTATTAAAAAAACTGCATGTCTACCTTGTCAAACCATAATTGTGTTTATTAAAAAACTGCATGTCTACCTTGTCAAACTATAATCGTGTTCATTAAAAAACTGCATGTCTACCTTGTCAAACCATAATTGTGTTTATTAAAAAAACTGAATGTCTACCTTGTCAAACCAGTTACTTCATAAAATGCTGCAATGTCAGCTCTTTGTTTAGATAATGTTCATGTTAACTCTTTGAATGTATAGTCTTAACTGCAACTTTCTAGGTAGAGTGTTAATGTAAACTTTTTGGACAGAGAGTGTTATATTAAACTTTTTGATATTTTAATTTCAACTTGTGAATAGACAGTTTTAATTCTAACTCTTTGGATACAAAAGCTAGAGAACAGTAGAAGTAAGCATGAACTGAGACTCTACTAGCCACATCGATTTGGGTATCAGACATTTTTAGTTACATGGAAATTATCTGAGAAGGAAAGGTGACGAGAAGAGTTAGTGTTAAGTGAGAACAGTCACTTCATTTGACCTACAAGATGTGCAGGTCAAACGTTTTGCACCGCGTGGTGCTATGGGACACCTTTACTTTTGGGTAAACAGAGCTTTAACTCATATTAACACTCTCTGTCCAAAGAGTTAACATTAACACTGCCTGACACAAGCCTTTACAACAAGACATCTGTTCTGCTTTTCGGGATCAGGTTTTGAGAGAGATCTGGTGTGAACCTTGGTGTGTGCTATATAGATGGTAGTATTCACAAAGTAGGATATTGTGTCTATCCCCAACTTGTGTGGTCGACCTCTAGTACTCTTTTCACTGTGTCTGAGTGACAGGGCCATCTGTAGTGCACTGTCCTGTGGCGGTTTTGAAACATGTCCGAACAATTTGATCTGTTTCTTGATGTAGTTTAGAAATGTTTTCCTTCAAACTTGTTTCCTGATATCATAATCTTTCACTCATGTCTCTCTCTCTCTCTCTCTCTCTCTCTCTCTCTCTCTCTCTCTCTCTTTCTCTCTCTTTTTTTAACGTATGATTTTTCATGGACCTTTCATTTTTGTGTTTGCAATAATTTAAAAAAAAAATTTAAGTTTTTGGTTAATGTCCAAGTTTGGCACTGTAAGACAATTTTGGTTTAAAAAAAAAAATCTTGCCTTAACGGGAGAATTGAACTACTAAGCCAACACAATTCTTGTCTGCCTACTTATTTACATTTATTTTAAACACCCACGGCTTGTTACCTGAGGCAGTTTGAAATATTTTTTAATGTATTAGTTTTTCCAAACAATAAAGACTGACAAGAGCATGACAACCATGATAAAACCTTTTAAGTTCCATCACCTCTGAACTTTGAACCCATCAGGGTACTGCCTTCAAGTTCCATCAACTCTGAACTTTGAACCCATCAGGGTACTGCCTTCAAGTTCCATCACCTCCGAACTTTGAACCCATCAGGGTACTGCCTTCAGGTTCCATCACCTCCAAAACTTTGAAGCTGCCAGGGTACTGCCTTCAAGTTCCATCACCTCCAAAACTTTGAAGCTGCCAGGGTACTGCCTTCAAGTTCCATCAATTCTGAACTTTGAACCCATCAGGGTACTGCCTTCAGGTTCCATCACCTCCGAACTTTAGAAGCTGCCAGGGTACTGCCTGATGACTCGCTGACACACTTCCCGTGTGAACAGGTAGTCATAAGAGGCACATAAAGTGACCAGATTATACTCCCACAGAGTCCCACTAAGAAAATCTGGCAGGACGTCCATGAGCAGGCGCAGGTTGATGTATAAATTGATGAACATCTCTTCGGGCAGGCTGTATAGTGCTAGGACCAACATGCTGATGATGTCATCACAAGCAGATTTGAAGTCCGGACTAATCATTTGAGAAATGTCACTGTTTAAATTTTCGATGGCTTTAGTGATGTAGCGGAGCTTATCCAGGAAACATGAGGCATTGAAACATTTTGTAATGAATTTTCTAAAGGGTGACATGACCGGTTCCATAATTTCTGTAATATTTTCTGGTGAGGAGAGTATTTTTAATTTATCTGTGTTATATCTCTGCTCATCAACGCTGACGACGGAGGTGGCAGACTGGGTGCTGGTTGAAGGTGAATCATAAGTACCTTCATCATCTGACAGCTCGGCAGATCTTAAAGAACCACTGCTGGATGTTTTAACATCTTCATCATCATATTCGATGTTATCAAGATTAAAGCGTCTGCAGAGGTCATCACCATCTGCATTGGCGAGTGTGTACAGTTCTTTAACATCACAACAACGTACATCCAAGCTAAGAGATGACAGAGTTTTCGCCAGTGAGACTTTATCTTCTGAATAATTAAGAGAAGGAACCGGTATAGAAACTGATCTTCCATGAACTTCTTTGCCTCCAAAGAAAAGATCCAGGAGTTTATCATCTTCCATAATTTCCTGCAGGGATGTTTTTCTCAGAGTGGCATATGCTTTATGTACGCCAAAAGTCAAACCTGTGATGTATAAGTCCATCAGCCGTGTGCACACTTCCTGGAGAAAAAAACAATATGTTGATTAAAATAATTTTTTCCACAAAAAACAAACAAAAAATTTATGATAAAAATTAAGTGTTTTTACAACTACAAATTTTGGGAAGGAAAGACTAAAGAAGAATATTAGGTATTTCTACACATCAGGGTTCAAGAGAAAACACCAAACAAGACTGTAGGATACCTCTAAACTGCAATGAAGATAAGGGAGAAGCAATAATATAAATCAATAAAAGACCCCTTTCCGCATCTTTGGGCATATTGTTAGGCATAAGTCTAGAAATGTATTTGATAGACCAACCAGCACTCTGTCGGCGATGTGGTCGGCATAACACCAGCCACTATAACTTCCCAGGACTGTAGCTGCTAACATTTAAGGGGAGAGGCCAACATAAAAGACACATTTTCATTGGTCTATTTATTGAGGAAAGGCTTTCTGTGAATTATTGTTTGTATGGTAGATAAGGAAGGCCCATACAAAATTTCATAAAGATCTGACCATATTTAGATATCTTTAAACATTAGCAAAAACTTGCATAATTTATGATTTTCCAGCTTGTTCCCCTCCCAGTACTGTACCTGGCACCATTTAAGACAGCGTTGACTTGGAAGCCTCAGTCATTTTTTGTGTGTGAAAAAATGTCCAGCTCAGTCAGGTCCTGAACCCACAACCTCCAGATCCACGGCAGTGCATCTAGCTGCCACAGCCGTGCATCTAGCTGCCACAGCCGTGCATCTAGCTGCCACAGCCTATTAAAAAGCAATACATGATTTTAAACAGCTGATGCACTGTGACTTTGAAGGAAATATCCTCATTAGTCACCTCCTATGACATGCTTGTAAGGGGGCAGTGGGTCTACTCCCTTCTCACCATCCCACCCCCACCCCAACCCGCAAATGGGCCGCAGAACCCACACGCAGAATAAAGACCTTAACAGGCTCCACATCAGATGGCTATCTCATTCCACAGAAAAGCTGAACTATCTAAAAGTTCAATCTACAACACGTTCCTAAGCTGAGACTGTTCTCCTGTGGCAGATAAAAGCCAGAAAAGAAGGAACAGATTTGCTTCACTTTGAACAACTAAGTAGGTGATGTACTGTATAGCTGTTACAGTGTTAAGTAAACATAAACACATACCTCACAAAAGAACCGCTCGTAAGACTTCCACAGAAGTTCTTTATGCTCCTGGCCAGAGACTTCATTCAGATCTACTGTGCGTAGCTCGCGGTCCAGCTGCTTGATGACCTCCTTAAAGTGACTCTGTATTTGAACTTTTAGGTTTTCCACCGTTTTCATTAGGGAACCCAGAGCTAGCTGCTCTGTCATCACATGCCGTGGACTCTGCAGAGTGTCATCGTCACCTCTGATTGTATTTGTACCAACCCGATCAGACTCCTCATCAACTAATGATAAGTTTTCATTATCTGGCATATCAGTTAGTGATGACCCAGATGAATATTTCCTCACAGTTGGTTCTAGTAAACTGCTGTTGAATCCATCACTTGCAGAAATGCCTTGATTTGTTTTTTCACTGACATTAATGTTAATTGTAGACTGAACTCTTCTTTTTAAAAACCCACTTTTGTTGCCTGTTTCACTTTCTGACTTCAATCCTTGAAGAGTCTGGGTTTTATTTATACCTGAGCTTTGAAATGGGTTAGGAATAAGAACATATTCATTGTTTCTGTCAATGAGAACTGCCTCCCTTCTTTTAGATTTTGAAGGTGTGTCTTCAGAGTCTGTTAAGGTTACATCATTCAAAGACACATAAAAGCGAGAGTTTTTTCTATCATCATTCGTTGTCTCGCGATGATGTGGCAGTCTGAACCCATCTCGTTTCACCAGCTGGAATTCACTAAGAGCTAAGTTAATTTTTGAAATAATATTTCTGCAGCCATCTTTATGTAATGTGAATGCTACTGAAGAATTATTTTCTAAAACTCTGGCCACTCTTTCTTGAAATGTCAGCCAAAGACCAGATTTTTTCCCTCTTTGACCTTCACTAACAGAAAAATCTGCAAAATCTTCTGGCTCAAATTTTGTGGCCCTATCAGAATTTCTATTGTTTGTTACCATTTCAAGAAGAGTGCACACAAGAGCCTCACGTGTGGCACAAATATTCACTTTATCATTGCCTAATTGGCCTAAAATACGATTTTCCATCTCTAGCCGTCTCACGATCTCAACAAAAATATTATGAAAACAACTGTTTATCACTTCAGTCTTTTTAACTTTCCTCTTCGTTAAGTTCCTCCTGGATATAACATTCTTGATTGCCTCCCTGACTCTAATAAATGTACTTACCTCATGAAACAAACTGTCCCTCCTTTTCTTCACCTCAGTAAGATTGACATTATCTGTGGGGTGATTCCTGGCCCAATTAATTTTGCTTTGTTCAGCTGCTAGTTCTATATTTAAGTCATCTATATCAGACTCAACTGTTTTCAGAAGCGTTATTAAAAATTCTCTTTTACACGTCTGCAAATACCTCTCACTGTCTAGGTTCTCTCGGTCTAGCAGATTTTGCTTCAACGTCTGCAAACACTTCTTCAAATTCTCAATAGTGAAAGCCTTTTTTGTAATGACATTTTCAGACTTTGCTAAACGCATTTCAATCAGGCGCTGGGCCCGTGTAAGACATGGTATATCATCTTCGGTAAAAGTGATGGACGGGAAGGATGTACATATGTAATATTTGTGCCAGGATTTTATGAAATTCTTCAGCTGAGTGTGTCTTCTTGAAATACTTCCTCACAGCTTCTGAGCATTTGTCCATCATTTCTTTCAGGGAGGCATCCAGGTCATAAATACTTCTGTCCTTGAACAGTGGTTTAGCTGCTGCAGGAATCAAGTTTGCTGTATCTGAAACAGCTGTCCCAGAGCGCCTCAGCACAACATCTGTCGTGCCAGCTTCCCTAACAGTGGGTGTCCAGAAGACGAGCCTGAAAACAATACAAATATATGAGATAGACATGGAACAATCTGGCACCTTACTTTGAAACTTACAAATGAAACTTTGTATGAAAGGAGTGGAAGGGCAGAATGTTAGACGGGCCTGGGTGCCGAATTCTTAACCCTTTGAAAATAAAGTTTGTTCGTTCGTTCATTCTACAGCTGGCTCTAGCCTAATTATCTTGTACCCGTGTGTGCTTGCCAGTTAATCAGCAGTAAATAACACAAAATTTAAAGGTTTGTACATTTACAACCAAAAAAAATCCCAACAGCTCCCCCCCCCCCCCCCCCCCCCCCCCCCCCCCCCCCCGAACTCGGGTAGAGAGATTGCACATAAAGCCTTCTTGGATAAAGATGAAAAAAAGCAAAATTGATTGTGTACAACTTGTGTGGCTCAAACATCTCATGGTAGTTTGGAAACACCAAGTGTAGGCTGCAAGGTCACTTTCCTGACAAAATATTACGGAAAAATCTACCTACACGCAGAAGGAGCCAAAGGCACTGAAAGGATCTGCTGAGGAAGTCAACTCTACATAAGCGCCTACTGGAATCAGACACCCTGACCTCTGAGATATCAAACTATGTGTCGTGTACTCCCTTGAAAGTTTAATGCAGAAAAGTAGGTAAAGTGAAGATCCATTTTCACGCCTTTCAGGTGCCTCAAGTATATGGGAAGAGCATCTATATTTTTTACAGACCAATCGCCAGTAGGTGGGTAATATGGTCAGCATTATGATGGCCATCTTTACTTCCCCAGGACATACATCCTGGTACCCATTTTAGGCTGGGTGGACCTGCGACACTCCATACCATGATAAAAATCCTCACAGCCAGCAGTGGGTTTCGATCGTGGTACATTGCAATTACGAGTCAGACTCGCAACGCCTAAGCCACAGACGCTGCCATTGCTGAGGAGAACAGTGAGGTAAAATGTTAGTATTCTGCACACTGAGCCCTGCTACTGGATATCAGAATGGCAAATGAATAGGGTTATGGTTACAGTCATTCAAACAAGAATGGTTCATTTCAGTCTGGACTGTATTGTCACGAAGTAAATGCAAGGGTGATTTACTGCATCCATGACCCTGGGGAAGGGGATCAAACACCAGACCACAGACAAGGACAGAATACTTGGAATACCTTCGAGCATAGTATGCATGCTAAAAATCCCTCAGCAGTAAGAAATGATACAAATCGGGCTATAAAGGCTTCTTCTTGTTCTTGTTCACTGCCTGTGAATTCCAGCGGAAAGTCCCGGTTGTTCCTCCATTTGGACTTTTAGCTTTCACCTTGACCTGAGTTTTGTGTGTACATCCATTTTACTGGCTTATTTGTTTGCAGTTCTCGTTTCCTACCTCACCAGCAGATGTACTCAAACTTCCAAGGAAGACATCAAGCCTATCTCTAAGATGACCGTGGCTATTTTTTTTTGGTGGGTCGACATGTTGCCTCATTTTTGTGGTGTTCTCGTCTCTTTATTTACAGGTGTTGCCTCTGAAGAAACCCCCTTAGGGCAACCTTACGTAGCATGGTCAGCCCTCAAGGGGAGGCAGGGGCAGATCATAGCCATTTCCCACCATGAGACTCACAGTCCATGGCGATGGCAAGTGTGAGTAGCAAGACCTGCACGTGTCAAGAAAAGTCTTCCACAATGATAGCATGGGATTTCAGGACCATTGTTAACAACATTTGTGTTTAATCCATTTTTTTCAGACGCTCAGCTCTCATCCTTTCTGCAATCATTTCTTCCTTCAGTCTCATTCCCCTCCTGATATGCCCTCCTGAATGTGAACCATGGTCGCACGAGAAAACTTACATGGAGATGGTGAATTGTGTGTTATCAGAGACAGTTCACCCCATGACGTGAAAGGAAGAGTTGACTCCATGGAGAGAAAAGAGCAACTGACTCAATGGAGAGAAAAAAGGAGTTGACTTCACGGAGAGAAAAGAGCAATTGACTTCATGACGTAGTGGAAGGAACGCATCCTCAAAACCCCTGATAACTGATGTTATTATTCTGTGCTCAGCAGCAGCGCGGAATCAGGGAGCTCGAGTGACGTGCATGAAGGTATGTTCTAGACTGGGAGTTGCCAGACTAGTCCTGCACAGCTATGTGTTAGGCTGGAGTTAGGTGTCTAGGTTATCTGCAGGAGTTGCCGCAGTAGCCCGGTCAAGAGTGGTGAAGGTTCGTGAAGCGAGATCAGGAGATCTCAAGGTACGTGGCAGGCCGCAGACAGAAGGTCTAGATAATCTCCACAAAGTATCATGCATCGGCCTGTATAATCTCTCTAGTGACCGTATGATCTCTCTAGTGACTGTACGATCTCTCTAGTGACTGTATGATCTCTCTAGTGACTGTATGATCTCTCTAGTGACTGTATGATCTCTCTAGTGACTGTACGATCTCTCTAGTGACCGTATGATCTCTCTAGTGACCGTATGATCTCTCTAGTGACTGTACGATCTCTCTAGTGACTGTATGATCTCTCTAGTGACTGTATGATCTCTCTAGTGACCGTATGATCTCTCTAGTGACTGTACGATCTCTCTAGTGACTATGATCTCTCTAGTGACCGTATGATCTCTCTAGTGACCGTATGATCTCTCTAGTGACCGTATGATCTCTCTAGTGACTGTACGATCTCTCTAGTGACTGTATGATCTCTCTAGTGACTGTATGATCTCTCTAGTGACTGTATGATCTCTCTAGTGACTGTACGATCTCTCTAGTGACCGTATGATCTCTCTAGTGACCGTATGATCTCTCTAGTGACTGTATGATCTCTCTAGTGACTGTATGATCTCTCTAGTGACTGTATGATCTCTCTAGTGACTGTATGATCTCTCTAGTGACTGTACGATCTCTCTAGTGACCGTATGATCTCTCTAGTGACCGTATGATCTCTCTAGTGACTGTACGATCTCTCTAGTGACTGTATGATCTCTCTAGTGACTGTATGATCTCTCTAGTGACCGTATGATCTCTCTAGTGACTGTACGATCTCTCTAGTGACTATGATCTTCTCTAGTGACCGTATGATCTCTCTAGTGACCGTATGATCTCTCTAGTGACCGTATGATCTCTCCTAGTGACTGTACGATCTCTCTAGTGGCACTGTATGATCTCTCTAGTGACTGTATGATCTCTCTAGTGGACTGTATGATCTCTCTAGTGACTGTACGATCTCTCTAGTGACCGTATGATCTCTCTAGTGACCGTATGATCTCTCTAGTGACTGTACGATCTCTCTAGTGACTGTATGATCTCTCTAGTGACTGTATGATCTCTCTAGTGACCGTATGATCTCTCTAGTGACTGTACGATCTCTCTAGTGACTATGATCTCTCTAGTGACCGTATGATCTCTCTAGTGACCGTATGATCTCTCTAGTGACTGTATGATCTCTCTAGTGACCGTATGATCTCTCTAGTGAGTGTAACTGTTGAACACCATCTCTTTGAGTGCCCAAAACTCAGTGAGACTAGAAGAATGCTACTAACTCCGAGACCAGACAAGTGGATCACCTTGTACGGAGGAAAAGAACAGCTTGTGAAAACATGCAAATTCCACTACATGGCATTGGGCCAAAGGGCGAAAGCTCATGCGAGCGGGCAATGATGGCCAATAGCAATCACAGAACATAGTGTGGTAGAAGTTTTCCAGAGCATCCTGAATGTGTATGTATTGGTAGTAAGAATGACAGTTGCCTTTTGCAATTAGTATCTCGTGATGCCATTCATTGTTCTGTTGCTGAAATACAGTAAATAGACATTGACGGTCAACATGTGTCCGGGGTCATCTATATCTGTTGAGCGGGAGTGGTGACTTGCAAGTGTGACACTATTGAGTAACCCTGGATACTTGGCAGGGTGCGGTGTAACCTGTACATGGCACGCATCAGTATGTTCCTTTTCCCTACATATGGAAAACTTTTTATAGCATGTTTGTTTCTGATATACATACATATTTAGATGCTCGCTGGATTAAGAAAGCAAGGGCATCCTAAAGACAGGCCTGAAGTGCTGGGTTGGATATGGAACAGATGCACAGAATAGAGCATAATGGAACAATTGACTCTCAGCATTACGTTAACAAACACAGTTTAACTTTTCAACAGAGGGCTCTGCTCATAGTCAATCCCTCCATTCTGTTCTACTCTATACAATGGCACAACGTGAATATGACGGTGATACAGTCGATGCACTGTGTTGAGGTTTTCCCATTAGATCCATGAAGGAGATAAGGGTACTTGTAAAGATATCTGTAGTGGCAGAGGTAATCTGTGTGCGTTGGAAGTAACTCTCAGCCAACACCAAAATAAGGTCACTGGGGCCAGAGTTCAAAGTTTGAAGTATTACACACAACCAAGTTTAGTTTAAAGCTTGCCATTCTTCTCTTTTTCTGTCTTCTTCACACACCCCCCCCCCCTCCCCCAGTGGAGTACAGGCCCTCATGACAGCCAAACCCCCCTCTAGGTCTTAGACATCCTCCTCTTGCAACCCCCAAGGTAAATGACCCATTTTCAAAACTTAAGACTTTCCTCCAAAGGTATATAGTCCCTCTTTACTTAGTAAGGGTCCAGATATTGGATAGTGGACATATTTCTATCCTAATTCTCTTGGGAGTGAAATATATTTAAATTCAGCCATATATAGTTGCGTTTTACTTATACCGAAACAAAATTCCTTGGCTTTAACTACCACTTTGGATGCAGATGAATCCTTTCCTGCCTCTAACTAGAGGGACACTTGGATTTGGGACTCATTCTTGACTGAGCTTCCAGACTAAGTGGACGGCTTGCTGCCTTACCTTTCTATATGCTCACCTCCTTTTGAAAATTACCGTTTTACCCGGGAACTTCCATGAGCATGGATAAGTACTTTCACAGATTAATATTACTCTAGCATTCTGCACTGCTGCTTACATCATGCCGTCCCCATCTTTTCAACTTCCCTCTCTCGCTCCTTCTCTATGTGTTTTTTTGGTTTGCCTTTATTTCTAGTTATACTGTTCGCGGGTTTTCTCAACCTCTTGGTCCACTGGAACTTGTTTAGTTTTCCACAAAGTTCTACATTAGTTTTTCTATCAAACTATTTAATTCCATCTATTCTAGGCATGCACCATTTAATGAATGTTTGTAGTTTATTAGTAACTGTTTTATTTGTTGTCTATGTTTACGATTCCATATAGCAGTACAGATTTGACATTAGAATTAAAAATGTTAATGTTAATTTATTTTGACCTCTACAAATTTCCAAGTGCTATGAAAGCTCCTCTTGCCTTTTGTATTCCTATCCCAACATCTCTAAGCAGTTCCTACATCATTATCTACATTATTGCTCAGATAGATGTATGACACCACAACTTGGAGTGGGATACCATTAACAGAAATCAAATTATTATTTGCCTGGTTTATTCTCATATTCTTTGTATTGCCCTTATGAATTTTTAGACCTAGGTGTTGTGAGCTTGCATCAAGTATATCTTGCATCTGATTCCATGAGTGGGGCAGAATAGAAATGTAATCAGCAAAGTCAAGATTATCAAGTTGTTTTGTAGGGGTCTACTGAATTCCATATCTCTTGCCATTATGACAAATAAACAAGATTAATGTCTTCTGATAATGTTGTATTAGCAACATAAAGTCTCTGCAATACTGCCCAGGCTTTTCTCCACTCTGATCTAACACTTGTAATTCTGAGGTTTGATCCAAAGATGTAAAATCTTTAGTGACAACCCGAGTGATTTACAAGCATGATCATAATCTTAAAACATACATGTGCCCATTGAGATGATTACCCTGCCTCTCTGTAGCACTGTGCAACAATATCTTCTGAAAAGATTGAAAGGTGTCAACAAAGAAACTTATTTCCAAACCTACCTCCGATCACAGTCAATGTACACGGCATCCACAGCTAAAGTTTTGAACCACAGAACTGATTCCTGCACCAAAGGTGATGTCTGCACACTGGAGCTTGTGTAAGGATGCAACCCGGCCACGATTGGCAAACATTTGTCATCCACGCTGACATTTTCTACAGTTTCTGTTCTGCCATTCAGCTTGATCAAGACCTTCATTCTACATACCCTGTCTTTTATCTGTAATAGTATAATATCACTAATTGTAATTCTAAACTGGCATGTTTGAATATATGAACTGTTAAATTACTTATATCTAACACATCTAATGGTGAAAACATATGTTGTACTGGAAATCATTTTATATCTTGCCAGATAATGAATCTGAAAAGAGTCCAGAAATACTACAAAACACTGATCATAAAACAAGAGCTCGATCACAACAACAAAACTTATCATAAAATAAGAGCTAGATCACAACAGCAAAACTTATCATAAAATAAGAGCTAAATCACAACAACAAAACTTATCATAAAATAAGAGCTAGATCACAACAACAAAACTTATCATAAAACAAGAGCTAGATCACAAAAGAGAACTTATCATAAAACAAAAGTTGGACCTTGATTATGTTTACAACACTGCAGATCTGTAAATTAGAGGTGAGTGAATTGATTTCACAATGTAATATTCAAAATTTACCAGGGTTTGATTCTTGTGGTGGATGGTTTACACACACATCATCATCATCATATCGTGTAGCAGGTCCTTTTGCAGAACTTCGCACTCATCACAGTCTGCCTGAAACTCGGTCTCTCACCAGTTCTCCCACCTCATGTACTTTCATACTCAAGGAGTCACTTATATCTTGTGCCCATCTTCCTGGTACCATGCCTTCAGCTATAATTGTTTCCAATCCGTCATGGCGCTTGATATGACTAAAATATTTCAGCTTCCGAGACAGGATACTGTTTATTAGCCAATCTTCTTTTACGTTCAGATCTTTCAAGATGTCAGTATTTCTCCTCTTCTTTGTCCAAGATATTCTGAGAATCTGTCCATAGCATTTCAGCTCAAAAGCCCCTATTCTCTTTCTTAAGGACTGAGAGATAGTCCAAGACTCATATCCGTATGTGGCCACAGGGAAGATGCATTTTCTCAAATTTCTAATTTTGATCTCCTTGCTGGTGCTTAACCATAGACTTTTAAGACTGTTCAAACACACACACACACATAAATAAAAAAAAAGATGCCTCTCATAATTGTCAGATAGTGATATGAGAGTCGTACTGTGAAAGAGACAGGGGCCTAACCATATAATATTCCCACAGTCAGTAGTTGATACATAACAGCCTGCCTCCACTGTGCAGATGGCACAGTTTTATTGAACTATATTGTAACTTCCATGAAATCTGCCTGCAACTTATTTGTATTAATATTAGTACTTCTTTTTCTTTCTTGATTGGCTCTAAGCTCTGGCAGAAAGTCCTGGTTCGCCATCCAATCGGACTTTGGCTTTGCACCTTAGTTGACTCTTATGACATTTATTTTTTGGGTAGGCACCGGGTCTATTCTTGTTTTCCTATAATAAGGTATCGGAACCCATATGGAGAGCTATTAGTACCAGATGGTACCTTTGCTTGGAGCTTCACTCACTTATAATGAAACAGTTAAATAACTATTAACAATATCAATGATCAATTCATACACAAAACTGTCCTCCTCATGGGGGTTCTAGGGTGCAACTTTGGGGAAAACAATAATAGACCAACTGCATCTCCAACAAGCATGTTGTAAGAAAAGACAGAGGGTTCCTTTGAAACTGGGGTGCATCTGCTTGAGAGGTAAGGAACCAACAATCTGCACACAGTTGAAGTCAGATCTGTAAAATGGATGTGCATGAAACACTCAAGTTCTGGAACAAGACTAAAGTCCAGAGGTGGACAAACAATCAGACATTTCTGCCGGAGTTTACAGCCACTACATGTGAAGAAGAAGAGAAGACAAACCTTTCTCAGGTAACATGTAACCATGACGTACATTAGACCAGGACAGGTCTCACCGGTTTATGTTTTAACTCTTTCAGAAGCAGACGGTTTATCAGCAGATGGCCCACAAGTAACAGTAACCACTGTGAACAACCAGGAGAGATTTGCTTCCACTGAGGCTACATGAGATGTATCAGAAATGTGGCCGCGGGGAACAACAAGAAGAGATTGAGTCACCAATGAAGAACAACAGTAGGCACAGCCCCGGTGAATGATTTTATAGGACCTCAAAGAATCAAATGGTTTGGTCATCTGGTTAGAATGGAACAAATACAGCCAGCAGCTGGAGGGTACTACATGAGAACAGTATGCAACAGGGATTGAGTTGGGAAAAAAAAAATAAAGGACACTACAGAAATGTAAAATGATGTTAACACAAGCTACACAACTAGCAAAAGACAGAGATCTACACATAACTTCTCTCTGTGACATTTGATGACATAAGCAGTAGGACCAAATAAGAAGAAGACGCTATATTGATATTCACAGTGGGGGTGGTCACCAGCAAAGTCCAATTTAACTTGCTAAAAAGTTCAAATTTAGAGAACACATTTCATTACCCAGTGGTTGCAATTCAAGAGGAACAACACATAACACACATTATACCTGCTTGGGACTAAAAATAAAAGAGTTAAACCTTTGCTCTGAGGTATTATTACAAGCTGTGACCTTCCTTGGGTACGTCACTTGGTTGACTGATTTTATTTTTATTCATGTTATAATGTTGAATAACATATTGATTTATTGATTTTAAATGTAGACACACAGCAAACAGCATAAACAAACCGTTTTTTAAAATAAACTATAAATAAACTAAAAGTTAATACTATTCTATTATTATTAAAATGTCAAATATCAACTCACTTAACTGTCTTAAACCTCGCGTAAACTAACCATTAGAATGTGACGAAGACATTGAAATAGTGTTTATATACTGAGACCTCATTGACAAACTCAAAACATTCCAAGCTTGAAAATCAAAATGCACAGGGCAGTTCTATAATATTTAAGTTTAAAGTAATGTGTAATAACTAATAAAATTGGCGTCGTGAACTCGTCTTCATACATACGGGATAACGTGCAAATACTATTTACGTACCCTGACACATCTTTCCGTTGGTTAATAGACATAATTATTAAACTACCACAACGGTCTGGCTACAGGCGAACACATAAAGATAACGGTCCGCTGACGGGTGAACTATTAGCTGTTAGATTGTATGGGGACTTCAATAGACTTCCTCCTCTTTGCCCTCGACACCCAGCTCGGGATATTGACATTCAGGCTCGTCGGTTTCCGTGAAAGTTTTTAGATAACCCAAAACCCACCCACACACATTCCTACTCGTTCGTCATCTCATTGCCTATATGTTATTTTGCAGATTAACACGTTTCTATAAAGTCTATTTGATATGAGATAAATATGTAGATTATTTCTTTTTCACAAAATTTTTCTCACATTTAACTGACATTAAAAAGTAATCACAAAGTATGTATAGCTGTTTGGAAGTGAGGTGTTAACATCATGTGCCGTGATAGGCAGCCTATGGCGAATGCTTGTGGTCTGCGTGGTCTCCAGGTATGGTGTCCGCCTCGAGTGCTAGAGGTCCCGGGTTCATGCCCCGGTGAAGGCTGGGCTTTTTTCTGTTCACTTTGACTTCTGGTAATTTGCCCTGGTCTCTGAGTAGTGAGATCGGACTCCCGTGTGTATTGCTGTGCACGTAAAAAATTCCTTGTCGGTTGGAAATCGAAAAGAAGCCTAACGGCGCTGCCTGGGCAAAATTTGGAGTCTAAAATATACCCTAAGTATGTCAGGATCCTCGCCGGTGCTGCGGAGCCCGTGCACTGCGCTGAGCTACTTCAGACTCAGACTTGAGTTAGTAGTAGAACGGAGCATTAATGGGTGCCATGTGCCATGATGTTGATCCGTTGTTCAAACTTCGGCCAATACTAATGCGTTGGTGTATCTGTTCCTGTTTGTGTTCCAGACACAAATGAGTTGTAAACGCTATGGCTAGATATTACGGATATCGCAACCCTTCGGCCTTGACTCCATGATGAATACCGCGAATCTGGGAAATATGTTGCTTTTCTGCCGAACGCGAACTCGGACCCTCTTTCAATCCCTAGCACATTGTAACTGAACTCACACTGTCCCAAAAATATAAGCTTAAAAGCTATAAATACTTCAGCTTGAAGGAGTTAAGCTGAGATACTGTGTGACAGTAGTAGTAATTATATGGCTCGATCCATGACCACATAACAACTAGCCGCCTGCCTGTCCTACCCCAGTGCCTGAATGTATGGAAGTAGTATACCTCCACAATTGCCTCGTTGGCGGAGAATACACGCACTGTCTGAGACAAGGAAATGCAATCTGAAAACTTCATGTTAAGGCAGGCAGGCCTTAGCCGTGGTTGGTGCCTTGTCTACAATAATTGTGTAAGCGGCCAAAATGACCCATTTAACAATGTATAGACGTTTTTTTTAAAAATATTTGATTTAAAATTAGTTGATCTATATTTTATCTTATTTCACTATTTTATTTATTTGCCTTTCTGAACAATAATAATACATGAGACCTCATACCAAATAATTTGCCTAGAAAGTTTGCCACAAAATGGTGAGGAGGGTCAGGTTGGATGGAGTGGGGAGGGGCACAGCACCCCTGACCCGCCAATATTTTTTAATTGTCACGGGAAGGGGGCTGTAGGGATATAAGCCACCCCACTCTTATTTTCTGCCTAGGTGGTGAGGGAGCATTGGTGGGGAAAGGTGGGTGGGTTGTCCGACGCATTGTTTTCTTAATTAATGGAGTGGGTTCAGAAAATATATATGGTCAGTGTGAGGTGGGGGAAAAGGGGGAGAGGGAGCTGTATAGTAAACTGACCATCCCACCTCATTATATATAGCAATAGCAGTAGCGGTTCTGACATGGAAAAAACCACCACCACCATCTTCATCATCATAAGTGTAAAAAGTTACGTTTCACCATCTCATACGATCATCAGAATCCCAATCATGTCAGACCATGGGACTGCCATAGCCCGGTTTTTTTCTTTTAGAAACAAAAAAAGCACCCGTTGTGACCACAACGTGTCTTAAAAGGTGTCGGTACACGTTACATCGTGTCTATTTCAGTACGCTGAAAAATATTAATGCCGCTGAAAA